CCGGGCTGGGGATTCGAACCCGCCACCTTAGGTGTACGTGGCTGGCGCCTTAGCCGATTGAGCTATAGGCGCCGAGCCTACAGTTCTATTAAAAACCACTTCTAAAAGCCTTTTAGGAAAGATAGATTAATGGGTTTGCTTTATTGTTATAGAGTTCAGCAGAGCTATGCTGAGAGAAAAACCTTAGGTCTGAAACAGAACATTGAATTTTCTTGGTTTTGCACAACTTTTCTGAAGTATACCATCAGAGCTGTAACTGATCATCTGTAGAGATTAATGTATTAGGTGAATGATTCCTCTTGCAGAGGAAACCCAGCAGGGCTTGGGTCTGTTATACCTTTGACCAACTGCTGGACAGGCCAAGGTTCCTGTTAGTACATGCTATAAGGTTGGGAGTTCAATCTAATACTTAAGAAGGGGATGTGTCCTACAAAGCCTATAAATCAAGTAGTTTTCAAAATACTTAGGAAAAAATTCTCAAAAGAGATGGCAGATGTCTTCTCATGGTGTGAAACTCCTCGGATTTTTCAAAAAAGGAAAAATATACATTTTAAGTTCAGTTTCCTTAACTACTGGCAACAGACAAACTCACTTAAAGCTCAATTTCAGCTGCCCTGGGTGCCTGCTCATGAACCAGACTTAACAAGAGTGATGTACAGAGAAGCAACATTTTACGCTAGGCCTTAGACTTCTTATGGGATCTTAGCCCTTTAAAATGTTTTGGTTATCCCAAAGAAAGTTATGACTAGCAGTGGGATTCTTATTCCAATTGTGTACTTTTCTCTTCCCAATCTTTGGACTCAGTCATCTGACTAGTATGACATTCTTATATGAATGCAATGCAAAAAGTATGGTGAAGCACAGCAAAGTGATGATGCAGTCCTTGCTCTAAAGGGAAAACATGGAAATGTATTGTTATAATAAGTTAGCTCTGTAATTGTAAGATTAGTACTAAGTTTTTTCAAACCCTAATAATTTCTATGCCAAACTGGGCAACATCTCCATCTTGAATGAGAAATAGTTACTGGGATGACTACAAACACATTCTCTAAAGTTTTAAAACTGGGACAACGGTCTAATTGTTATTTGCGATAGTATTTCTAACCTGATTTTTTTAAAGGGGCATATATTTCCCACAGATACCATTTAGAGTATGTTTCTTTGCATGACTTAATCTAAAACCATACGTATCAAAAGCAGGGAGGCAGTGTTTCCTTGACTAAGTAGCTGAGTTGTGTTCTCTACCTCACCTTACAGTCCTATTCCAAAAAACTAAAAAAACTTTGAGGCCTACTCTAAAGATAGTCATGTTAGAATGTATCAATTCTTGAAAATTTCATTTTAATCAAAAGTAGTCATGTTAGAATGTATCAATTCTTGAAAATTTCATTTTAATCAAAAGAGATCTGGGCTTCTTTTTGCATTTTAAAAAAATGTATGTATTTCCTTTAAGAGAAAAGTCAAACTGATGTCACTAAACCAAACCTAAACCCACCTGAAGACCAATAACTACAGAAAGGGTCAAAGTCAGTATTAGAAATATCACACTTTATTGAACTTTAGAGCAGCTAATCTACCCCTCCCCTGATGACCAATGACAATAAGAATGGAAGAAAATACATGAAGCTTAAATTAAGAGTCAATACCACTGTTAAAAATGTTGGAACAACTTTCACTGTACTGGTAAGGCAGTTATAATACCCTGACATGTACAGTATTGATTCATTCTTGTTCAAAACAAGGTGTGGTTTCACTTGGGATTCTGAAGTGAATTTAGTAACATTCTGGCTTACAGAGTCTTCTTCCATCCTTCAGTGCTCAATTTTAAAATAAGACAACCCTACTGGGCAGAAATTGGAATTGGGTAGCATGAGCTACAATTCTATAGTCCACACTAAGGAATTTTACTTAGACTGTACTGTAAGAAGGTGGTTTCTCTTTTCCTTTTCTTTGCTCCTTTGTCCTTTCAACTAAATTCTTTCTATAGATGAGAAAAAGATTGGTTGTGGATAAAAAATAAGCATTTACATTATCAACCAAAATAAAAAAAAGTAGAAAAGATGCAGTCTTTTCCCTTAAAATCGAGTCCTTACAGTCCAATGCAGCCCTGAAGCAAGGAGGGAACGATTCTGCGAAGGTGCAGATAGAGAAGTAGCCTTGCCAGAGTCACTCAAGATACTTAAAGGCTTATAAAAGGAAACTTGACCTTAACAGCAGGCTACATGTGATAATGGAAACAGTATTTTTCCTCTATTGACATACAATACTGCATAATGCACTGAAAAAGTTGGAGTTTGGAGTTACAGCACAATTTGTAAAATTACAGCATTTTGGATCACCTCTTCCCATTGTCCTTCTTGTTTCACTCTGAGACCCTTCACCCCCTTAGTATATCCAGATTCACTATGACATATTGATGATGATGATGAAAGACAAGGAAACAGTGTCACAAACCACAATGGAGCCATTTCTGCATGCAGTTCAGCCTGATTTTACCCTTCCTTAATAGACTCCGATACAATTTTGAATCATCTGCACCAGAGTACAGATACACAAAACTAAACAGGTATCCCTCTATGATAAGACTATTTTAAAGTCTTCAGAAACTTTCCAGACATACCTTTGATGGAACCCCCCACCCCCCCTGCCCCAGTGGAACCCAAACAGGGACATCCTTTGCTTCTGTTAAGTCCTGCCAGAACTTGTTTAATGGGTGCTCAGGATTTTGATTTTCCTCTTTATTCTTCCTCTTCTTCATCATCATCTTCATCATGGCAGTGTGTAATCTCCTGAGGGACCAGTGGGAAGAGATTGGGGGGTTTAATCTCACTAATCGACCGTGTCAGCTGATGCCGCTTGTAGTCAGTATCTTTGAAATCCACTGATGTGCGGTTTCGGGTGGCAAGGGGAGACTCCATCTCATTGATATCCACATGGGTATGCTCCACCGTTGATTCATGAGGCATCTAGATAGGACAAGGCTAGAGGCTCAGAAAGCAGGCAGAGTGAAATAGCTGCCTCCCAAATCCTAACCCCTCTCTTAGATGGCCATGCAGTTATCTCTACAATGGACCAGAAGACAGGTCAATATAGATATATCTTCCTAGAACTACCTACAGTTGCCTGTCTGCCTCATCCCCTCTTCAATAGTTTATATATTGTTTACTACAGCCTGAAACGGGATAAGATGGAGAGGAGAGATTCTTATTTTCTATTTCACAGCAAAAAGTCCTAAAATAAAGTATCAGAACATAGGAATATAAAACACATTTCTTTCAATTGTGCTAACAAAAGAGTCTTCTATCATTCAAATAACTTTAATAGAGTAGATTTCAGAAGGTAAAATTATATTCTATAACCTCCTATTTTGGTCATACTTTCTCTTACCAGGGTTCTGTATTTCATAAAGAAATGTTCAAACTATCTCCTGTGCCATCCCGTAAAGCTGGTTGCTGATCCTAGCCTTATAGTACATCTTAGCGATCAATAGTAGCTTAAGGCTGTAGCCTTAACTCACCAAGACATGAGCAGCTCTGAAGAGGTAGCTGAAGGGGTAATACAGCAGGTTGATGAAAGATGCTGCATACAGGTCAGCATAACGCATTACTTGACTGGCAAAGAGGGTCTGCCGGGAGCCACTGCGAAACAGGCTTCCCATCATCCCATAGCACATATCCATGTCATGAGTTACTTTCTAAAACAAAGAAAGATTAATTCTCAGCTCATTCAACAAATACTTACTGAGCAGCAGCTACATGCCAGTCTATATATAAAATCAGAAACATGAAGATCACTTAAACTGGGCTAGGCTTGTTGGCTCACCCCTGTAATCCTAGCACTCTGGGAGGCCAAGATGGGTAGATTGCCTGAGCTCAGAAGTTCATTCAGACCACCCCGAGCAAGAGCAAGACCCCATCACTTAAAAAAAAAAAAAAAAGTCAGCCCTTGGAGCAGGCAGGCGCCTGTAGTCCCAGCTACTCCAGAGGCTGAGATAAGAGAATCACTTAAGCCCAAGAGTTTGAGGTGGTTGTGAGCTATGATGCCACTCAGCCCCCAAAGTGACTGAGACTGTGCCTCAGAAAAAAAAAAAATCACCTAAACTCAATTTATTTCCCAAGTTTTATTTGGATACCTTAATACGCTTCTGGATGGAACTAATGTCTGGGCGCTCATTGCTACTGCTGTCAAGGTGCCTGAAGACAAAAGAAAAACTCAGTGAAAATCTCTACAAAGAACATTTCAAATACCTAAGTTACTCCCAAAGAAGTAGACGGTTTTAAGGAAAGGAATTTTTAGAATTAGTAAACTTACTTGTAGAGTTCAGCCAAGAAAATGTCCAAGCTCTGAAGCTCTTCAAAAAGTGCTAGTTAAAGGTTTGGAAGGAAAAGGAAAATGTTTTAAATAAATGAAATAAAAAGTACCCACTTCCTAACTGCTGCTAAAATGAAATTAAAAGGCTACAGATATGACTAACATGATAGCATGCTATAGGTGAGTGTATAAAGTGACCTCCTCCTTTCCCTTCAGGAAAACCCACTGATACCCTGCCTGGAGTCTGGCAGCAGCATCCTCTTTAACTGCATTTCTTCCAACTAAATCCCACTGACAGCAATTTTCCTAGCTTTATGCTCTGTCTGAGCTTACGAAGTACCAATTCATACCCTATCAGATATAGTTTATTCAGATATAGTCAGAAAAGCGTGTTAATAGTCTTATTTTCAGATGAAGGATTAAGAATTAGGCGACTTGTCTAGAATCACAGACAAGATTGGACAAGGTCTAGAAAACAGTAGAGCCAAATCAACTAGATTTCTAAAACTTCATAGGTGGCAAGTTAAAAATGTGGATGAAAGGTAAGCCAGAAAATCCCAAATAACATTCCTGCATGCTTCTTATGTGTTAAAGCCTTTCTCAAACAGGGTTCCCCAAGATAATTAAGCCCTTCACCCACTATATACAGCAAATTTTCTTTTTTAAAAATAAGTTATAGACATCCTTGTAGAAAATTTGGAAAATACCTAAAAGCAATTTTCAAAATGAACTTTAAATCACCCATTATACCAGTCCCCACTTTGTTTTAAAGACCTTTAGCTCCAGCTTGGCACCCGTAGCTACTGGTTAGGGTGCCAGCCACATATACCAGGGCTGGAGGGTTCGAACCCAGCCCAGGTCTGCTAAACAACAACAAAAAATAGCCAGGTGTTGTGGTGGGTGCCTACAGTCCCAGCTACTCGGGAGGCTGAGGCAAGAGAATCATTTAAGCCCAAGAGTTTAAGGCTGCTGTGAGCTATAACACCACAGCACTCTACTGAGGTCAACATAATGTCCTCAAAAAAAAAAAAAAAAAAGACTTTTAGCTCAGGCAATAATGGAATACATACATACACGGGCCCTGAAGGGAGCCCTATCCTACAAATTAATTTACCATCTTTAGGAGAATTGGTTGAGAAAAGACTCACTCAAATCATTTTGTGTTCTGTGGTTCAAATGAGGAACTTTGGCTGAAGAAGGACTGTTACTTCTATCTTCTTTATATACATATTACCTCAGTTAAGTCTCATCAGCTTTAGGAGGTAAGTACTATTATCATTATCCCCATTTTTACATTTACGGAAACTAAGGGAGAGTGTACCTCAGTAACATGTCTAAGAGCATCCTGATTTTAAGTGGTAAAGCCAGGGTTCCTACTCCACGTAGGCTGTTTCCAGAGTAACTTTTACCACACTTCAGGTGCAGGTAGTATGTGCTAGGGCTGGCTAGGGAACCGTGTCAAACACCTTTGTATAACTACAGTAGAACTTCCATAGCTGACCACATCCCTACATTGACCAACTCCTTAAGGTGACCTAATTTCCATAGACTGAACATGTACATACCAGTACAGGAGGAATAGTTTCTTATGTTGATCACCTCTGAATGTTGACCAGTTTATTATAGTCCCTTGGGTAGTCAACTTACAGAGGTTCTACTGTATATCCATAGTTCAGTTCAGTATAGTGTATATATTACATATGTACAGTGTAACTCAGTTCAAGAATACCCTTGAAGAGAAAATTAAAAATACCAAGAGGTAATTAACATTCAAAGCTATCAGAGCCCCAAAATCACAGACATGGGCTGAGAGACTGGGACTACTAGGCATGGTTGGAGAAATATGGGGTTACTGAGGAAAGCAGTGGTCTAGTTCACAATTAAGTAGTTACTGTAACATAGCTCAGGATACCAGCTGTGTACTTAATCTTATCTTGAAGAGATTCAAGAAGGCTCAAGATAACCTCTCATAGTTATTCAAATTCTGGCAGGAGGTATCCAAATATCAGGACCCACCTTTCACTATCTCTGATCCCCTGCATACAATGTAATGGTTTATCAAAGAGGACTGCTTCAAAGCTGGTCATTTAGATATAAACTAGCTCTGTCAAAGAGTTATATAAATAAGAATAATGGCTCCTTACAACTCTTGTCAGTCCAGACATGCAGCTCCTGTGCAAGTTCAGGAATCACCAAGAAAGTTCGCCACCCTTGCCGTTTCTTTGATTTTAAAATGTCCCCAAAAATGTGATCTCCAATATATAAAATGTCTTTTCCCTTGGCTCCCAACAGATCACAGATCGTATCAGAAGAACCTGAAACAATAGCATGAACAATGAGAAAATAAAAATGTTTCTATATTAAAACCAGTGTTCCAAGTACTATAACCATTAAATACTATGATTAATTTTATTCTTTTTTTTTTTAAATGTTTTTATTTATTTATTTTGTTGCAGTTTGCCTGGGGCTGGGGCTTGAACCCGCAACCCTTGGCATATGGGGCCAGCACCCTACTCCCTGAGCCACAAGCGGCCACCGATTAATTTTATTCTTAAAATTATGTGAGGTGACAGACTGGAAAAAGAGCTCACCTTTCTTAAAAGCAAGGACTTACCATTCTCTTTTTTATTGCCTCTCAGACAAAGCTTTCAGCTCTACTATGCTGATCAGAGCTCTTTATCACCAAATCCAAAAGCAACAAAACCACATGTAACAGAGTTTCACTATGTTGCCCCTCGAATGCCATGGTGTCACAGCTCACAGCAACCTCAGCAACCTCAAACTCTTGGGCTTAAGCGATTCTCTTGCCTCAGCCTCCCAAGTAGCTGGGACTACACACGCCCACCACAATGCCCAGCTTTTTTGTTGTTGTTGTTGTGGTTGTCGTCGTTTAGCAGGCCTGGGCTGGGTTTGAACCTACCTCGGTGTATGTGGCTGGTACCTTACCACTGAGCTATGGGTGCCAAGCCTGTTCAATTGTTTTTAACTGCAAAATAATATGTACCTATGTCCACAAAGGCCCTTGGGAACATCTTGAGAACTCCCCCAAATGATTACAGGACATTGAGAAAATGCCTCAGATAGGTTTAAAAGGGGGTGGGGGGGGTAGCCGGGCGTTGTGGCATGTGCCTATAGTCCCAGCTACTGGGAGGCAGAGGCAAGAGAATCACTTAAGCCCAGGAGTTGAAGGTTGCTGTGAGCTGTGTGATGCCACAGCACTCTACCAAGAGCAATAAAAGGAGACTCTGTCTCTACAAAAAAAGGGGGAGGGGGAATTGATTCTTTTAGTGAAAATCAAATTCATTCGGATATACTAACAACTTCTCAAACTCAGATTCCTATTACATCAGTGTGTAACTAGTCACTTTCAGTAAATGACACCTTTAGAATACTAAAGAGTATGTGTATCACCATGCTAGAAGAACACCAAAGCTTTCACCATGAGGCCTGAGCAAAGAGTTATACTAAATAAAGGGAAGTCTGTGACTTACCTCCTGAGTAGACGATGCCATACTGTAGGGGTCCTGTATAGGTGCCAATTTTTAGCTTGCCAGTTTTCTGTGTGAAAAGAATATGGACTTTGTAATACTTCACTATCCTACCACTATCTACCCCAACAATATTACTTGGTCATACAGCCAAATAAATGACACTTACACTTTTGAATTAGTGAGTTTGTCTGGCTATCTTAGTCGAGACCAAAACTCTTAATTTCAAAAGAGAAATATGGCGAATAAATTAAAAATACCTGTTTCCTTTGGGAGAGTAGGAATGGGAAAGGAGAAACTTGGACAGTGTGCTAGCAAGCAGATCATCCTCCTGACTTACAGTATCCACCTGACGCAGTACTGTGCCTTCTCCAAAAAAGAGCGGTTTCCGTGCATCCACCAAGATCAGGTCAAAGTAGGATTGCCATGGTCGATGGGAGCTACCAGGCTGGTACAGGAACAGCAAAAGCCAAAACATCACTCTTTACCTTAGACACTGATGTTTGATCTCACTTGGATACAAGAATCTAGAAATACTAAGTATAGCCAGAAGATCCCACTATTTTATAAAAAAAAAAGTATCCTATCTAAGTATAAGCCACATCCATTTAGAAGCAGGCAATATTTGACTCTAGTAAATTATTCTTTATTTATTTTATTCAGGCAATAAATGACTAGTAATTTATTCTTTATATTTTAAATCATACACAGTAACTTATTTCACAGGACTTTAATATATGAAAGTGTGTGCTCACTCACACTCTGAAATGTGCTAAAAGGGGGCTCAAAAGGGCTTGAGAGAGGGGCAAATCAATACTCAAGGACAGATAAAGAAAGAGGTAGATCAGCATCAGAACTAAAGTTAGTAAACTAATATGGGACTGTATTATTAGGAAATTTTACTAGTTATGTTTTCAGAATGATGGCTCTAGAAACATGTGGGCCTTTGGCTCATCTTGCAAGCAAATCACAATGCTAATGTGGAAGTTATATACCCATTAAAATTATTTCTATCTTGTAATGAAACCATGGCATTAACTTTTTCTTTCTTTTTTCTTTTGAGACAAAGTCTCACTCTGTTGCCCTGGGTACAGGGCTGTAGCATTATCATAGGTCACAGCAACTTCAACTCTTGGGCTCAAGCAATCCTCACACCTCAGCTTCTTAGTAGATGGGACTGGCACAATGCCCAGCTAATCTTTTTTATTTTTAGTAGAGATAGGATCTCGCTCTTGCCCAGGCTGGTCTCAGACTCCTGATCTCTAGCAATCTGCCCATCTTGGCCTCCCAGAGTGCTAGAATTACAGGTGTGAACCGCCATGACTAGATGGCATTAACTTTTAAGACCAAGCTAAAGAGCACTGCACACTGATTTGGGGTGATCTCAAAACAAGGATTTGCTATTGTTTATTCAACAATAAACAACCTAGGACTAAAATTCTATAAGTATGTGCAATGGGTACCTTAAATCTATGTGCAGTGGCTCGGCGCCTATAGCTCAACCGGCTAAGGCGCCAGCCACGTACACCTAAGGTGGCGGGTTCGAATCCCCAGCCCGGACCTGCCAAACAACAATGACGGCTGCAACCAAAAAAAAATAGCCGGGCGTTGTGGCGGACGCCTGTGGTCCCAGCTACTTGGGAGGCAGAGGCAGGAGACTCACTTGAGCCCAGGAGTTGGAGGTTGCTGTGAGCTGTAATGCCACAGCACTCTACCCAGGGGGACAGCTTGAGGCTCTGTCTCAAAAAAAAAAAAAAAAAAAAAAAATCTATGTGCAGCCATAATATAGAAATGAAGATTTCTCTGCTAAATATCAAAGTTAACTATCCTGGCACAAAACTCAGCAATATCTAATAGCAGAATCTAGAAGTTATCAAGAATATATACATTCAAATTTTCTGTTTCTGTTTATCAAGTATCTTCCTCAACCACAAAATTCCTTTCATGGCCAGATTTAACAATTCTGCATAGAACTTCTTGGGGCTAAAATTATGCTGATCCCATCCTACTAAATACCGTATGAATTTCCCTTTTATTTCTGTTCTACCAAGTATTCAACTTACTAATGATTTTAAATTCTACAAGCTCATGAGTTACTTCTAAATGTTAATGATTAAGATTCGACAATAGGCTTTAAAAGTAGGACTTTTACAAGTGGTTTATACCCATTCTTTCCCCTCAATATTCTAGAATGATTAAATACATCATTATCACTAAAGTCATGATCTATTAAGTTACATATAATACCTTGGGGCCATGTGGGAAATCAAACAGGTAAGTCATGATTTTCTGGAAAAAAAAAATCTAACATAAGGTCCACATACTATTTTTGCAAAAGATATATAACACCTACAAAAAATTACACATAAGCTAAGAATTCACCACATTTTTGCTTCCTCTAAAGTTTATGAAATGGCAAAAGAAGCCAAAAATTAATACTTAGTAATACCAACAACAATAAAAAGCTTCTAACATTCTCAAGGAGGATATATGCTTCTTCTAGGTGTTTTTGAATATACACTTGGAGGTAAAGGGTATATAAGGTAAGGGTATAGCGAAAACTAATGACTCACGTGTATATAATATATTACCTTGGCCTTGCCACTACTGCCATAGGCCAACTAACCACTGGTTTTCTAAGACTGTTTACTACAAACCACCAGATATTTACATCAAGTTTTTACACACAGAAAACTGCGGAAATGGAACTTCTTGCTATAAATTTGTGTCTCAGTGTAAGTAAAATTACGTCAAGAAGTTAAATAAGTATTTATGCATGCTTTAATCATGGGGAAAAAAGTTTAGGTTAAGTTTTGATGGCTAGGATTCAAACCATTTTTGTACCACTTATTGCTACAGTACTTCCGAGAGTAGTGAAGTCATATGTACAGATCGATAAAGGGTATCACTGCTCCAGTTTATGTAAATGTGCTTCAAAAGGGCATAGAAGCCATGTGATCAGCACAAATGTTTCCAAAAAACCCAAATTAAAACCACCAAGCAGCCAATTATAATAAAAGAAAATAGTTAAAATGAATATTTAACTCATTTCTGAGTTAAATGAGTATTTAGAGAACTACTCTGGCAGAGCTTTTATTCTATATATTTTTGCTTTTTCCACTCTGCTTTCAAAATGAGATAAGAAACCATCTTCACCTATTAAACTTCCATCCTTTTCATTATCTTCACAGTTCTTTAGGCCAAAGTAATCCCTCTGAAACAAATACGAATACTAAGCACTTACATCTGTATACTTATAGTCACTGTTGGTGGCGAGAAATACTTTCCCTACTTCCTTCATCCGGCTCAGAAGCAAAGGCAGTTTTCCCTGAAATGTAATATGATAATAAGTGAAACACTAAAATATATTTATATTTTGGGCTAATTATATACTAGATTTCTGTCCACTGAAATAGGAATGGGGAGACCTCTTAAAGCTTGTTGTTTGGTTTCAGAATTTTGCATTTAAAAGCTTACATTACCACTGTGCATGAATAAAGCATTAACATATATAGCATAGTGTATATATTAATAATATAAAGATTTATATGTGAAATGATATATGTATTACATGGTTTAATGGTCATTTATAACATAACTCTACCTTTAAGATATCTGCCTTAGGAAAAAGTTTAAATTACTTTGAGATTTCTTGAAGTACGTGAGGTATGTTAGAAGTTAATTTTAAACGTTACCTACAAATACTCTATACAATAGAGATTATTAGATATGGCTTCCCTGTGTATCCAATGGTTTATAAATGTAACCTATAAATCACCCACCCTACACACAAATGACAAAATTTTAACTCCTGATGTGCTTGGAAAAAAGAACATCTTTCCCTTTTCTCATAGTAACAAGATATACAAAGACTGAAAACAAGAAATCTTTAAGATAGAAATTAGAGAAAATACTGTATTTTACTTTTATTCTGTTAGAAAAAAAGCAGTATCTCATCATGGGGCTCTATGTGTATTTATTTTTTATTATGAAATAATTTTAGATTTAGGGTGGTGCCTGTGGCTCAGTGAGTAGGGCGCCAGACCCATATACTGAGGGTGGCAGGTATGAACCTGGCCCTGGCCAAACTGCAATAAAAAAAAAATAGCCAGTTGTTGTGGCAGGCACCTATAGTCCCAGCTACTTGGGAGGCTGAGGCAAGAAAATCGCCTAAGCCCAAGAGCTGGAGGTTGCTGTGAGCTGTGATGCCACAGCACTCTACCTAGATGACAAAATGAGACTCTGTTTCGAGACTCTGTCTCCAAAAAAAAAAAAAAAAAAAATTTAGACTTATAGAAAAATTGTGAAGATAGTATTGAAAGTTCCCATATACTCTTTATCCAGCTTCCTTTAATATTAACATATAACTACAGTACAATGATCAAACTAAGACATTTACATTAGTACAATACTATTAACTACAGATTTTTTTGAATTTTATCAAATTTTCTTTTAATGCCTTGTAAGTTGTTTTAAAGCTTTCCACATTATTCCCTGTAGATATGTTAAAGAAAGTTTAAATAAGTCATATATATGTACATTTTTGAGATGATCTAGTGCAGTGATTATGATTGAGGTATGAATCCTGGCTTCATTACTAAATGTGTGACCTTAGGCAAATTATTTAATCCCTCTATTCCTCAATTTCTTCATCCATAAAACAGAGATAACAACAATTCCTAACTCAGGGTTAAAAGGAAGATTAAATGGCATAATGCATGTAAACACTTAGCACAGTGATGTGCATACAGTGAACCTCTAGCTGCTGTTATAAGGCTAAAAGAACAAACGAAATACTGGGTTTTCTTGCCTATCAACAAATAAGAGAAACTGTGCTCTGGCTGATAATTCTTGGTGATTACACCTGGCATGTATTATACCAAGACAAATAAATATCTTCCCTTGTTCATTTCATTATAAATAGGCTTATTATTCATTTTCCATCACAAGTAAAATAAATTATCATGCGAGCTAGTTTATCCTGTATTACTTACATCTTTGACTACATACTTCTCAAGATTTTCAACTGTCTTTTCCTTAAGGGAGCCCTGGGGGAAGAAAAAAGGAACTAAGAAAAGAACAAAATCAGTTTTTAACATTTAGTTTATAAGAAAAAGTGTGTTTACCATCAACCCACATGCATTTCTTCCGTATTTACAAACACCAAAACAGAAAAGAAGATTGAGAAGGCTAGGAAAGAAGCAGCAGGTATGATTTGTTGCAACTCCGCCTTTAAAATCTGCTCTTGATATAAAATAGTTTCTATTTTAAATTAGAAATTAAATGGCATTTCATATTTTGTTCAATACAGTTTATAATAAATATAAACATTATTAACTAATTAATGTTAGTAGTCAAGTGGGAGACACTTGAACCAAAAAAAAAAAAAAAGGATCATTATCATCTACAAAGGATATGTTAAGTATAACCTAATATACTAAAATCTCTTTTAAATAAGTTGAGAAATACAAACTAAAATAAAAATCTAGACGCCAAGTACCACAACTGAGAAAAGATCACTATTACCTTTGAGAGCAGCACAGCCAAAAAGAAAAACAATTATCTTCTAGAAAACTGTCACTAGAGGACAAATTCATTTTTTAACAGAAGAAAAATGCTGTCACATTTGCATGTGAGAAGTTTTTTAATGTCAGGCCATAAAACACAGGCCGGAAAAGTGAGCAGGTGAAGAACCAGTTTCTAGTACCTTATAATGAACCCAATCAACAGCATCTCTTACATCCTGGAACATACTCCGGTAGGACATGAAGAGATCTCCATCTTTAAATCCTGTTTCACAGCTACAGAAAGATAAAAAGAACATGACAGGGAATCCAAAAAAGGGTAAATAAAATGAATATCAAAAATTGCCCAGGGGACCCAAAGGTTCCATAGCACAGGGTAAAGGCTGTAGCTAATTAGGAAAATAATTACTCCCTAATTAAAACCCACTTTTGGCCACCACAAACAGCTATAGTATTTAATGGATTACAATATTGTGAACAAATACAAAGTGATAGACTAAATTGAATGGAAACTAAAAGGCCAAAGATCCAAAAATATTAGCTTCTATTATTTATTACTTTTTAGAAACAGGTTCTCATTGAAGAAACATTTAAAACTCAAAATTATGGGGTGGCTCCATATGCCGGAGGTGGCAGGTTCAAACCCGGACCTGGCCAAAAACTGCAACAACAACAACAACAACAAAAAACCTTGAAGTTGCTCATTTAGGTTCTTCCCACTCTGACTTTTTCTGACATATCCCCAAGTATAAAAGTATTCTCCATTTTCTATTTAGCTAACTGACTCAGCTTCCCACCAAATTTAGTGTGTTAAAGTGGATTAGGCACAAAGAAGCTAAGATGTTAGCAAACTTTTGCTAACATCTAAACTTTCAGCAATGGCTATATAATTCTCCCTTAAAAGGAGAGGATAACTTGTTTAAGACTTAAGGAAAATTTTACTCCAGGAAAATAAACCATATTTATTCTTCAATCAAATCTTGCTGGGTCTGGGAATGAAACTAAATTAGCATCCCTGAATGGCTCCTGGGTAGCTGCTGTGAAATGAGTTGGGGGGTTTTAGTGCAATTCTGCTTGGACAGATAATCATCACACAAACCTCCCACTCAGTTGTCACAATTAGCACCTCTGCTGGCCGTCTTCATTCCCAGGAGAAGCCAATCAGAAGTGGTCCCTTCCAAACATGGCTGCAGCACACTGGCAAGGAGAGGGGCCGTGTGGGAGGTGAGGGCCTGCATGGAGCTGCTGGTGCTGTCCCATCTCTCAGGCTGGCAATGTGGCATCTCTCACTAGCACTAAATTCACTTTAGAAAAGCAGAAAAGACCTACAATGGCCAGTTCTCTAAAACCCTGTATATTAATTTAAAAAATCAATTGAAAAAAATTATAGTATACACATACCTGGTGTATCTGGGACAATTAGTAAAAAAATCTACTAGGCAGGCCAACAGGTAGGTCTCTGAAAAATGAAGAATAGATATTCATAAGCTATAAGTGAAATCATTCAAACTTGCTTCATTATCTTCCTTAAGCAAAGACTAATGGCCACAGAAAGAAGAGGAAGCATCAGTACCAATAAGCATAGAATGAATCTACCTGGTAGGTTGAATAATGTGTTCAGAATGTAAAATCTTTCAGTGTCATCTCGTTGGATAAATTTATTTGGATACTGCTCTCTAGTTTCTGGTCTGAAAGAAAATTTAAACAATCAACTGACATTTAAAAATTAACACTATAATAACTCTGGGAAATATTCATTATTCAAAAGTTCATTCAAATATTTCATAGCTATGTGCAAGACAGGGTCCTAAATATTAAGCCTAAGTGGCTGTGAAGATGAACAAGCTCAAGTTACAGCTTTTACAGAGTTCTCATTCTGGTAGGGAAGGTGAGTCACATACACATACAATTGTAACAAAGTAAAAAATCGTAACTACTTCAAGAAATGTGCAAAGAGCTACTAGAAAACCAAAGAAGGGGAAACCATTTCAACTTAAGGAGCAGAAAGAAGTGAACATGAAAGGTGGGGAGAGGGAAATCTATGAAAGATTCATGGAAGTGGTGGCATATGAGCTGAGTCTTAAGGCTGAGTGGACCAGTTCAGAAACTAGTCCAATTTGGGTAGAGAAAGAGGAACAGAGAAAAATATAGCTAGGAGGGTGGCACCGTGGCTCAAGGAGTATGGCGCCACCCCATATGCCAGAGGTGGAGGGTTCAAACCCAGCCCTGGCCAAAAACTGCAAAAATAATAATAATAATAATAAAGCTAGGAAAATGGGTTGAGGTATATCATGCTATTATTTCCATACTTCATTCAGAAGCAAGAAAGATGGTGACTGTCAGTTTTTAAGCCAAGGGATAAACCCATCAGAGCTGAGTTGTAAAAAAATTAAATTAGTAACTGTTTTATAGGATAAACTGGAAAAAGAAAATAAGACACATTTCAACAATTGCCACAAATTCTTGCCAACACTCTGTGATGCAACTTGGTGGCTCCTCCCATTAGAGGAGTTTATTTCTCCCTCCTTAAATATAGGCTTGAACAGCAGCAAGTGGGATCCAAGCAGAGACTTGGAAAACACTTGGGTATTGGGACTTGCCCTCTCTTGCTACACTTGGAACCCTGAGACTACTATGTGAATGATAGTGAGATAGGCTGCTGGAGGATAAAAGACTACATGTAGCAATGAGGTACCCAGGCAACAGCCTACAAACAGCTAGACATGTGAGCGAGGCCATTCTAGATCAGCTGCCAGCTGACTCGCCAGCTGACCACAGACACACAGAAGAGCCCAGAGAGATCAGCCAAGCAACCCCAGAACTGCCTGGCTGACTTGAATTTTAAGCTAAATAAAATTGTCACTGAAGTAATTTATTTTCAAGCAAAAGCCAACAAGGTACTGGGAAATCAGGTTGTTATTCCAGCGGTCCTAATGGTCCTAATAAGAATAGTAGGACCTATCCTAAAATGGTGGCAAAAGAAATTAAAGAATATCATATTGGCCAGGTGCAGTGGCTCACACCTGTAATCCTAGCACTCTGGGAGCCGGAGCAGTTGGAATGCTTGAGCTTAGGAGTTTGAGATAAGCCTGAGTAATAACCAGGTGCTGTGGTAGGCACTTGTAATCCTACCTATTTGGGAGGCTGAGGCAAGAGAATCACTTGAGCCCAAAAGTTTGAAGTTGCTGTGAGCCATGATGCTGCAGCACTCAACCAAGGGTGAGGAAGTGAGACTCAGTCTCAAAACAGACAAACAAACAAACAAACAAAAACCACCAAAAAAAGAATATCATGTTGATCACAGGCAGTGAAAGAAAAAAATATAAGAAATTAAAAGATATATTGCCAAGGTAAAATAAACAGACAAGATCAGACAACTAATGAGATTAGGCAGAAGAGGGACATAAGAGTCAAACAATGACAACCCTCATACTAAGGTCTCTGAGAAGTGGCTGGATAAGAATGGGTATAAGAAGAGTTCTATGCTATGCTAAGCTTGAAGTAAACAGATTTTTAGCAGGCAATTAGAAACAAAGGTCAAGAACTTAAAATATGGCTTGGTGCCTGGAGCTCAGGGGTTAAGGTGCCGGCCACATACACTGAGGCTGACAGTTCAAACCTGGCCTAGGCCTGCTGTAAACAATGACAACTACAAATGAAAAATAGCTGGGCATTGTGGCAGGCGCCTAAAGTCCCAGCCATTCAGGAGGCTCAGGCAAGAGAATCGCTTAAGCCCAAGAGTTTGAGGTTGCTGTGATGCCATAGCACTCTACTGAGGGCAACACAGTGTCTCAAAAAAAAAGAACTTAAAATAGAGATTCAGACTTGAGAGATAACTGGAATTTACACACAGGTAACAGACAAAATCATGGAAAGTACTAGAGGAGATGAGGTCACATAAAAGCACAGAGAAGGCCAGGTGTCGTGGCTCACACCTATAATTCCAGCACTCTAGGAGCCAAGGAAGGTGAATCCCTTGAGCTCATGAGTTCGAGACCAGCCTGAACAAGTATGAGACTCTTATCTCAAAAACAGCCAAGCGTTGTGGCAGGTGGCTATAGTCCCAGCTACTCGGGAGGCTGAGGCAAGGGGATTGCTTGAGCCCAAGAGTTTGAGGTTGCTGTGAACTATGATGCCATGGCAGTCTACCAGGGGCAAGAAAGTGACACTCTGTCTCCAAAAAAAAAAACAAAAAAACACACAGAGACAGATGAATGAGACTGAGAACAGAACCAAGGAGAACAATCAGGATTAAAAAGGAAAAAACAAGCCAGTGAAAGAGATAGAGATTGTTACAGACACATGATAAGCTTCAAAAAGGAGACAGTATTAATAAAAATGTTTCAGAGGAATGAAAAGAAAGACTGAAATATTAAAATGCACAATTCTGATAGTGAATACATGGAGACTGATAAATCTAAATAAAGGAAACCAAATTTAAAGTTCATCCTTAGAATGACTTAGATAATTTCCAATTTGGGTTTGTTAACTATGGCATAAACGCCAGTTAGGCATATAAAATCACATTAGTTCCCTATCTTAAGTCACTCTTCTGAAATAACATATTCTACAAAGCCACTCTTATTGGGAATTTTTCTACTCATTTAAGGTTTTCTGTAATGAAAAGCAAGGCAGAAGGAAACAGTTACGATATACTTCCCTCAGACAAGTTTAGTAAACTGACATTGTCTTCTTAGATATAATACACTTTCCTATTCCTTCCAATCACTAAAGAACAATTCTTTTACATAAAAATAGTTAACATTTATTAGGCAGTCAGAACTCAAACTGATTTATAAATATAGTTAATAATTCTATTTGGTTTATGCATCAATTCATGCTAGTATACATTTAAAATAAAAATAATTCAAGAGTAGATAAATGTGTTATAAAAGAAATGCTACACTTAGAGAGGAAAGAAAAAGTTATAGGACAGATCACTACTAACATTCTTCAACCCACACAATAAAGATGTATTTGAAAAATGAGCTCCCAACTAATTAGCAAGGACTAATGGAGCCCAAACTTCCTTTCCAGCCTTGTTCATCACTGCACTCTAGTTAACTGTATTTCTTTCCCTCCATCTTCAGACTCCTTTCCAGGGTTTTTAATTCTTTTGATTCTAAAGACTACACAGTGCTAAGCACAGTTTGAATGATTGTGCATTTACTTATCAATATCATTTTTGAAACACTAGTCAATGTATTTCCAAAGGAACTATTTGTAAATTTTATTGGCTTATTTAAGGGCAGAGAGGACTTCTGCTTGAGTTAGTAAATGTGACTACAGTATTTATAATAATTTACTGAACTACTTCTCTTTCTTTTCCTCTTTGTTTATCCCTCTTCTCCATAGTACAAAAATTCCTTTTCAGACATAAATAGAACCTTGGTTGAGCTTCGTAAGGATTCTGAATTATAGTAGCAATATCTATATATAAAATAACTTAGGTGACTAGTTCTACCGGCAATCACTCCACTTTCTAAATCCTGTTTCCTGATACTCATGGATCTTGAACAAACCCCTCACGAGAGGGACAGTGAAAGAAAGATGGATGTAACCATTGGCCTACCCACATATGTCAAGGTGGGTACTTACTTCACACAGGTTCTCACTGTGTATATCTGGACATCTTTGAGTCTGTGTAATGTCAGTAACACCAGGTGAAGAGTCCTGTATCAGATTCTTCAATTCTAAATGGGGCATTCTTGTGACCTCAGTTTCAAAAGAAGCTCTGGCACAATTTCAGTTACTTTGTGCCTCTTATTTAAAAAAAAAAAAAAAAGCCTTTCTTTTTTTGGGGGACAGGGTCTCAACTCTGTTGCCCAGGCTGGACTGTGTGATACCGTCGTAGCTCATTGCAACCTCAAACTCCTGGACGTAAGCAATCCTCCTGCCTCAGCATCTGTTCCATCTAGCTGGGACAAGACGTTATCTTTCTAATAATTTCAGTATAGAGTGATGTTGTTACTGCCTTGCCATCAATAATGAAGACTATACAGAAAAGTTACCAGGAAACTGACACAAAGCCTATTTTGGTTCTAACAGTTGTTCTACAGTGTCAATAGTAAATAAGTTAGTATGACAGTACAGAAAGTGTATTAATTGTAAAGCCATGATCATTAACAGTTGTCAAATTGTAGTTTTATAATTTTTTTTTTTTTTTTTTTTTGAGACAGAGCCTCAAGCTGTCCCCCTGGGTAGAGTGCCGTGGCATTACAGCTCACAGCAACCTCCAACTCCTGGGCTCAAGCGAGTCTCCTGCCTCAGCCTCCCAAGTAGCTGGGACCACAGGCGCCCGCCACAGCGCCCGGCTATTTTTTGGTTGCAGCCATCATTGTTGTTTGGCGGGTCCGGGCTGGAGATTCGAACCCGCCACCTTAGGTGTACGTGGCTGGCGCCTTAGCCGGTTGAGCTATAGGCGCCAAGCCAGTTTTATAATTTTTTTAAGAAAAAAAATTGGGATGTTTCACAAAAAAATGTAGTTACTAAATTTTACCTACTGTTTACTAGGGTGCAATGTCCAAATTAGTGATAACAGTGGAAATATTGTTACAACAATAAAGCTTATCCTTATTTTCTTTAAATATTAAATATTTTTAATCACAATCAAATGGCTGAAAGTGTTCATTACAATATAAAAAATGTATTAGCTACTAAAAATCTTAGTCATTTAAACTGCTATAGTTTAAAATTTTTCAAAGCACTTTTATTTATATACATACCTCTTCTGAGCAGCTATCTGAGAACTGTATTAAAAAGGAGAAAATAAAAATCTTAGAATTTCAAGTAAGTCAAAACTATTACAGTTCTTTTGGACAAGTTTCAAGATTAGCTTTGAATGATGTATAATTAGAAGGCACTTAATTTAAACAAAATGTAATTGCCAACTATATTTATATGTCAGGTTAGGTTCTAACTGCCTGTTAACTAACTTTTATGTAAAGGAAATTTCTCTTTAAAGATGGAAGGAATAGGTAAATATACTACATCTGGGGGGACAGTGTCATCTTTATGTTATTTGACTACAAAAACACTAGAAAGAGGCTAAAGGGTCATTGTACTCACCCCCTTATGAAGTTAAATCCATGTGCACAGACCAAAAGGTTTCCATAGGCATCAACTTTCAAAAGATTTCCATATAGTGTGTCAAAGACCAGTCCCCTATGTGAAAATGAATATATTATTAATAATGCAAAGTAATACAGTCAATAACTTTATGTAGTACTTAGTCAATCACCATGAAACAACCTTATCTAATTCCACTCAAGGATGTCCCAAAACAATACAATCTTAAGAGCTAAAGGGAGTGAATTAAATATTAACTAATTCTTAACAATTAAAATAATATTTACTCTGTCCACATAGATAAATAATCTCAATTGTTTTCTGTAAGAAATAAGAGCTTACTCAAATAAGATAATTATTCTTCATATAGCTTGTACCATTCTAAAATAGTCTTTTTAATTTCCTGTGACAACTGAGCAGGCTTACATTTCTTTCCTTCTATCAGATGCTGTATGTGGGACATGCATGATAGCATCTCAAATAAATATCATCTTTCTCAATTTTAAATCTTCCCTGTTGAATCCAGAAATACAAACTGCCAAGGCTCTGACTACCAAGTTAAGTAGATTAGCAAAACATGTACTTGTATTCCAATGGCCAAAACCACTACAATCTGTGATTACTGCCCATCAATTTTAGTGATCCCTTTTCTTACTCCTAAGAACTAGGTCTTCTTCAATAGCAATAAACTGAGCTCAATTCAAGAACACAAAAGATGAGGCATATATGAAAAGTTCACAGTAATTTTGGAATTATACCAACCAAAAAAGCAACAAAGAATTATCTGATACATAAAAAGGAAAGTAGTCTTAATCCAAAAACATCTTGAAAAATTACCTGGTGGGGAATGTAGAATCATAAGCAAAACTGAGCAGCTCCTGGGGATAGCCAATAGAAACTAATCTTTCCACAGTAAGCTCAAAGCCAAGGGACTCATACTCCGGGGACTTGTAAACTGCACAAAGAGGAGGTTCTCATTAGTCAGCATAAATAATAGCCAATTAAAAACAGAAGGCAAATGAATGAGTTTCTGCTCTTTCCCAATGCATCCCTCCTCCTAAATCTGCCATTTTTCTTCTTTCCCCTCAAGCTCCAAGTTCTGCACTTCCCATGTAATTAGAGGACTCAATTGTTAGTCTGTGGAAATAGGTCATATTATAGCAGGAGAAGCAGCAACAAGATGAATTATCAAACATTTTAGTATAGTTCCTTCATTCGTAGGAAACCTATTCCAAATTTTTTTTCTTTTATCTACTCTTTCATATTCACAATTTTAAAAAAACTAACATGCACAACTGTGACATTAATAATGAAAATAAAATTAAAGAGACAACTAGGTAAGAAAGCCTTCACTGATATGCATAATTGACATAGAAATACTTCAAAATCCAAAATGAACTTTTTAAAAATAATTTTTAGAATTCCTATTAGACTTGGTAATTGGTTTATAATGCTTCTCCCATTAACATGTTTGTTCTATTTGTTAGATTAACTTGTTTTCTTATCAGCTATAACAATGTTATAGCCATCAAAATGATATTTTATAAGTTCTTACTACAGACCAACTGTAAAAAGACACGTCTGAGGCAATTAGAGAAACCTGGATATGAACTGAGAATTATACATTAAAGAATTATGATTCCTTGATCACATGTGATTATGGCAGAATAGGTATATCTAAGTGTATATATTTTTTAAAAAAAATACTCCTTATTTACCAAAGGAGCATACTGAGTTACAGGTCAAATACCATGGATTTCAGATTATAGGAGTTTCTCTCTACTACTGTGTATGTCTAAACTTTTTCATAATGAAAAATCTTTTTAGCGTTATCCTATAATTCAGCATAAAGAAAATGCCGCTCCTTTAAATAGGTTTCTTCCAAATAAAATATTTAGATAAGCATCCCTCCTTTAGTCTGTAGGAGTAGGTAAGCCACAGTTAAAATAAAAATAAAGGCTCGGCGCCTATGGCTCAAGCGGCTAAGGCGCCAGCCACATACACCTAAGGTGGTGGGTTCGAATCCCCAGCCTGGGCCCGCCAAACAACAATGATGGCTGCAACCAAAAAATGGCCAGGCGTTGTGGCGGGTGCCTGTAGTCCCAGCTACTTGGGAGTCTGAGGCAGGAGACTCACTTCAGCCCAGAAGTTGGAGGTTGCTGTGAGCGTGATGCCATGGCACTCTACCCAGGGGGATAGCTTGAGGCTCCGTCTCAAAAAAAAAAAATAATAAAATAAAATAAAATAAAATAAAAATAAAAAACAGAAAGACCTGCCAACTTGCTAAATGTCAAGTCAGTCAAAAATATCCTTCCTATTCTTATTATCTCATAATAATGCAACTATTATTATAACATTAGTACACATTATAGTTTTTCCATTTACTATTAACATCTTTAGCTTATGGCTCAAACTGAGTTTTCATTGCAAATAGACTGCAAACCCAAGTTAGTACTAATATTTTAACAAGTACAATTCCACTTTCCTTTTCCTAAAGCAATCCTTTAAATTATGTCAGGACAAATATAAGAGAAACTGATTGCATCCAAAGAATGGAAATGAGTGGCTAAGCAATAGGAAATGTACCTCCCATACCTTTAAAACTTGTAGCATAGGGCAGAGCCTGTCGCTCAAAGGAGTAAGGCACCAGCCCCATATGCCGGAGGTGGTAGGTTCAAACCCAGCCCTGGCCAAAACTTAAAGCATAAAATCTATCTATCTTTTTTTTTAATTAAATGGAAATTTTTAAAAAGCAGCTGGGATTTCAAAATCCTTTAATAAACACTGGTCAGATTTTAAAACCAGAAGCCTAAAATTTTTAAGGTTTTTTAGATGCTGAGTCTCATCTCTTCAGAATGATACCCCCAAAAGGTGTTTTTGTTTCTTTTGTTATCATGGTGGTAATAATAATTTAATGCTAATGCTAACCCTAGCTAACATTTTCAAAAATGGCTATATTTGTTTCTTCCCCTCGCCCCCCTCCAAAAAAACTGTTGAAGACTTACATGCAGAATTCCCAAACCTAAAGTATGTACTGTATGGTAAAGAAAAGTGCTACACAGTCATACACACTAGCAGAGATAATAGCTGGTGTACTATCACAAAACCAATAGGGCATAGTACCATTGACGTAACTTTGAGTTATGCTGAGAATGTAACATCTCTCACTGTATCCTCCCCCACCTCCTGTTTCCATGTCTATTTCAAGTTAAAACTCATTTTAATAAAATTTCCAAAAACCAAAAATTACTCCTCAATCTTAACCAAAGACCACTTATTTCAAACAGTATTTAATTAAATAAAATTCCAATATAGCTAAGTAATTGGGACAATAATATTGACATTTATCCTTATAGGATTTGGCTCATATAAAATATTTTTAATTATTAATTTTTCAGAAGGATAATTTGCTGGATATGCCTGAAAAAAAAAAAACAAAAAAACCTTAGTCATTTTTACCTAGGGTCACACCTATTATCAGCAATTTTCCCAGTTAGAGAGTCAGGTAATTATGAAACATTGTCTATGAGACAATTTGGATTGGAGCTCACAATTAATTTACTCAGAATTTTTAGTGAGGGGAAAAAAAACACAAAGGAAAAAAGTCTCAAATCCCCATTTGCCAGCAAAAAGCCTGGCAAAATGAATACTAGAAAATAGAATAGCAGAAAATAAAACCCTACATTTTTGCCACACTATATTTATTCACAAGGTTGTACTTCTCAAGTATTCAAGTGAAGTAACTTTACAGAAATTCCACCTACAGAAATAAATGCTTTAAATTTCCTCTCTCTCAATGAGTTTAAGGTACTTCCCCCAAATAAGATGTATCTTCCCCATTTGCTGACGCAAAGTTACACAGCAAGAACAAACATCAGCTGAAGCCAGAATTTAGGTCTCTCTGAGTCTCATCCAAAGGTTTGTGGTAAAGGTATACTACCACTGCTAAAAATGAATTTCTAGATTACACAGGCCATCAAAACTTAAGCTTAGGTGTTGAAACTTATACTTCACTCTCCAATTTCTTTCAACTAGTCCAAAATAAACTGTTCTAGTCACAGGTGGAAATGGACTTAGCAAAGAGTCCAAGTTCCACTCTGACAACACTATCTATTTCATCAAGCTCTATATTAATCAGTAAGACCTACTGGCTATTGACATTTTCTCCTAAGCTTCCCAGATAATTGTTTCAGCAACATGAACTCCTAGATCATTAAATTATCTGCTAGAACTATACAGTACAATTCTGCAAAAGCAGAACTGCAACTGAACAGAGCCTGACTTTAAATGTTTTATTCTAAGTTTTCTTTAAGAATAAACACATTTGTTCTGACCTAGTAACAAAAATTCCTGACATTTACAAAGTGCCACTATTCCTTTAAGAAAAATAAAAAATAAAAAGCAAAATTCCTTTTTCAATCAAACAGGCCCTTCAAAGCCAGCCTCAGACATTTGTAAGGAACAATACATGTCACCTCAGTCTGTGGAGTGTTATGCTGCTCCACAGCTGCAAAGGCTCTAATTTCGATTTCTCTCACAAAACTGTGGCAGGTAAACGAAACACATTTTCAAGCTCAACTCTTTTAATTGACTTACTGTGGTTCCAAAACCTAGGCAACAGATTCAGAGTAAACATAACCAAACACATTAACTGCTCATTTCTTCTCTAAGAAGGTCTTTGGGCCTACCTTAACTTTTTCAATATCCAAAGACAAAGGAAGAAGTTAATTCAAGAGCCAGAGTCCAAAAAAAGGAATGCTGTAGCCACTAGGACAGCACACAGTGTTCTCAAGTTACGTAACTAGACTATAAAGAGAACAACCAAAGCTTTGAAAGTTGAAGCTACTAAGAGCATTTAAAGATATTCTTCACTCCATAATCTGCAAGGTAAAAACAGCTCTTCAAAAAATAAATGCATGTTGTAAATAAAAATTGTGGCTAGATACTGTTCATACAAGATAGAACCTGTTAGAGGAGAAACTCCCTTTGGAATGAGCAGAAAACTTTCTGCAGGGAAGTTGAAATTCTCATGCACTTTTTTTTTAAAACCTTTGCCACCAAGACCCATGTTTAGTAGTTCATAGATTTAGAAAACCAAAGGGCAAACCTCTACAGAGGTTCCAGCCTAGTAGAATGCTGCTGCCAAAATGAGAACTCACATGAGGCAGAGGCAGATGCAGATGCAGTGTGTGTCACTCCAGTCTTGAAGGAGTTACACTGGCTCTCCTGTTAAAAAACAAAACAAAGCAACAAAACAAAAACAAAAACAAAAACAAAAGCTGATTTTAAAACTGTTGTGATGGCTGGAATAGAGAGATACCATTTGGAAATTGGTATTTACAGGAGTTACTACTATTTAGAAGCCTCTGACCATCACTGAAATTAGCCTAATTGGTCATTACAAAGCATATCTTCAAGATATGCCTAAGTATTTTGTATTATTTACTTTTCTGGCACCTTTAGTCTCAAATACAAGCTGCGTCTAATCCTGAAATGTTAAGACAAAAGACAAACAAAAAAATATATTTGTTTATTTTCTCTAGTACATTTCAGGCTAAGAAAGTCAACGCAGCTGGCAAATGATGTTTATAATTGAACTATGGATTATAAAACAGACTCAGTAAAGGATATGAAAACAAATCAGCAGTCTCATCTTGTTTTTGAGTACCCAGTTAAGCTGAGTCTACCTATTCCTAACTACCTACCTGTAGGTACCTACCTAGTTCTTTACCCTGCCAACATCTAAATTTGTCATCCTGATACAGACTAGAATCAACTGCATGCTGCTAAAAATCTAACTAGATGTCTAAATCTGGAATGAAAGAAAATTTCTAAATTTTTATTCTGTCAGTGGACATCTGTCTTGTATAAGCACTCTATAAAGTGAAAAGAAAACTACCCAGTCTAGTAAAATAACTGAGTTGAAGATATGTACATCCTTAAAAGATACTGATACTTTTTAAGATATGCACTATATTTAACTTTATAGGGAGTAATTTTCCCCAAAGACATGTAGGTTTTTGAAAACATGTGGCTGGACTCCTTTAACTCCTAGATTTTTCTGCAAAAGATAATACTAAATAAAGGAGCAGAAATGACTGACTATAATGTCTAAAAGTTCTAAAAGTTCTACGACTAGTAGAAACTACCACCAACAGTCACTATGATCAACAAAAATGTAACCCAGCCACCCAAGAATCATTCGCTTTTACGCTATAAATGTGATCAACAACAACGTTCTTTATCCAGATATTAGGCTATGCAATGTTGGTTCTCTTTGCCTATAACTAGAAAAGGTAATAAATAATGCACATCTTTCATTGAGAAAATTTTAAATAAAATCTTTCCAATTATCATATAAACAAGTGCCAGAAGACTTTCTTCACTTTTCAAAACTATTTGAAAAGCCTTACACATTAACAGTGTACACTCAAAAATTTTAATGCTGTGGCCTTTAATACAGTTCCTGTAAGTCACAACCCACAGGTTGAGAACCACTGAACTAAAGGAACTACTTGTAACACAAAAATAGAAATGGCTAATAAATATATTTTTCCAAGAATAAAAACAGATCACAGCACTCAAATGCTTGTACTAAAGTTAGAGAAATTTAACAAATATTTGGACACTACTATGTATTAGGTACTAGATGCTGAGAACAGAAAAATGAAATAACCTGTCATATTAGCATTCTGGGAAGCCAAGGTGGGTGGATTGCCTGAGCTCAGGAATTTGAGACCAGCCTAAACAAGAGCAAGACCCCCATCTCAAAAAACAGCTGGGCCTTCTGGCCGGCACCTCTAGTCCCAGCTAGGTTGCTGTAAGCTATGATGCCATGGCACTCTACCGAGGGTGACAAAGTGAGGCTCTGTCTCAAAAAAACAAAAAAAGGAAATAACTCATAGTCTTTGACCTGAAGAAGCTTATAGCTGCTCATGGTGCATGGACAGGGATATATAATTAGACATTTATAGTAAGTTATAGAAGATCAATAATATAATGTGACTAAGAAAGCATTAAGGGACAGAAAAGGGACCAATGAAATTGGCCTTAAAAACTATGTGTAATTTATTCAGGCTTATACAGATAACTCCTCATTATGACCAACATATCAAGGTGCTATAAAGTTTACCTGACACATTCTCTGAAATTCAGATAATATGTTCCAAACACCTCTGTCAGGGTCAGGCAAGTGAGTTAATGTGTGAAGTGGGCTAAGCAAGGGTACATATCTTGCTTAAAGGAGGAAACAGATGCTCAACTATAGTTGACTCCTCTGTAGGAATGAGAGCCTATGTGATTAGGCAATGTGATTAAAAGCTAACCTAACAGCTAGGCGTGGTGGCTCAAGCCCGTAATCCTAGCACTCATGGAGGCTGAGGCAGGTGGACTGCCTGAGCTCCTAAGTTTGAGACTAGCCTGAGCCAGAGCAAGACCCCATCTCTAAAAATGGCATTGTGGTGGGCACCTGTAGTCCCAGCTACTTGGAGACTGAGGCAAGAGAATCTCTTGAGCCCAAGAGTCTGACGTTGCTGTGAGCTATGACACCACAAGGTTGACAAAGTGAGACTGTCACAAAAAAAAACCGAAAGAAAGAAACACTAACCTAGACTTTTATCTGCAATCTCTCAATTTTAAAATACTGACCCAACTAAACAAATATGTACTCTTTGAATTAAACTATAGTCTATACTCTGAGGTGGACCCAGCAGTCAACAGTATGCACCTCTACTGTAGCCCTCAAGTCACATACTGATAGTACATATAAGTTTCCTATCCTATTTAATTGAAATGTTTGGCTCTATTCTTCAAATAATCTTCCAAAGTAGTAACAGAATTTAGGTATTTAATGAAATTGGAAATCCAGATGGAAATTATTCCTTAAATAACCACAAAGTATCCTGGATATTATCATTATTTTATTCATCTTAAGGAAAAATTAAAAGAGTAGATGAAAAACTTGGAAAATAAAATAACCTTTATGTGGTCACTTGATTTGGACACCTGTAATCATCTGTATCTGACTCTTTTATATCACTATCAAAACCAAGTAAGTGTTCCCAATGACAGGAAAAAAACCAACATCCTCATAATCTGCCTAGGTAACCAACTTGAAGTATTAGTGTTCCCTGACCCAGCAGGCTTTATAAGGTTTAACCTAAATGTTTGCTACCCAGGTTGATTCCATTATCATGTGTCCTTTTCTCCATAGCCATTATCTCCATGATAAATATTCAGAGAAATGTGCAAGCAAAACACATAATGAATTAAAGGTAGTTACTGTGTTACTACTATTCTGAAAAACAAGTTTAGATATTTGAAAATAGCCTACGACACTAGTGAAAAGATTTGTCTTAGTAACTTTACTGATACAATTAATATGATATTCATTCACTAAACATGTCTTACAATTGAATGCCTTTGTGATTGGCAATGGAAAATAAAGATCACCAACAGTACTAACTGATTACCCAACAGACTCACATACATAATAGGGGTGCCTAAAAATGTATCCACACACTCCCCCTAAAATATAACATATATTTTATATGTAATATAAAGATATCTAAAGATAATAGTCTTGAGGGTGGTTAGCTTACCTAGTACAAAGGGCTTTCATCACTAAGTAAGATAATGAACAGGACTATTATTTCTTTTTAAAATTCTTTCCTAAGAACTTCCTAAACTTTTTTTTTTTTTTTTTAGAGACAGAGTCCCATTATGTCACCCTTGGTAGAGCACAGAGGCGTCACAGCTCACAGCAACCTCAAACATTTATGATTAAGTGATTCTCTTGCCACAGCCTCCCATGTAGCTGGGCCTACAGGAGCCCACCACAACACCCAGATTTTTTTTGTTGCAGTTGTCATTGTTGTTTAGCAGGCCTGGGCTAGGCTCAAACCCGCCAGCCTCAGTGTATGTGGCCGGCGCCCTACTCACTGAGCTATGGGTACCAAGCCCCTGAAGTTTTTTTTTGAGGAATGACCTCAAAAGTATCACTTGGTTATAGAAATAGTACTTCATTTCCTGAGGTAAGTAGTGTAAAAAAGACCGAAGTGAAGAAAAAGACGTAACAGCCAGGCATTGTGGCCAGCACCTGTAGACCCAGCTACTTTGGGAGGCTGAGGCAAGAGAATCTCCTAAGCCCAGGAGTTGGAGGTTGCTGTGAGCTGTGTGACACCACAACACTCTACTGAGAGTGATAGAGTAGGACTCTGACTCTACAAAAAAAAAAAGAAGAAGAAGAAGTAAAAACAGCTAAAGTAATGACTATAATACCTCAAATGGAAATGAAATGACGAAAAGACCTTAAAATTTAAATTTCCTTAAAAAAATAAAAAGAATCAAAACCAAATAAGTGTTCCCAATGACAGAGAAAAAAATCCTCATAATCTCCCTAGGTAACCAATTTCAAGTATTAGTGTTTTATTGGCATTTTGTCAGTTACCTCCACCTGATTTTTGTGTGTGTTTTGTGTAGGGTGAGGTTAAAGGTAGGATAGGTCTTGCCCTGCTGCCTAGGCTAGAATGCTATGGTATTATCGTAGCTCACGGTAACCTCAAACTCTTGGGTTCAAGGGATCCTCTTGCCTCAGCTTCCGGAGTAGCTGGGAGACTGAGGCAGGAGGACTGTGTGCACCACACCTAGCTAATTTTTCTACTTTTTGCAGAAACTGAGGCTAAGGCTAGTTTTTAACTCCTAGCCTCAAGCCATGCTCCCACCTTGGCCTCTCAAAGTATTAGGATTATAGGCATTAGCCACTGCACCTGGCCTTGATTTTTTTTTTTTAAATAGCCTCAAAGCAGCATTTATTTACCCAATGAATTCCAAAACATTTATTTTAGAAGTCTGGCATTTCATAATCACCCATCTTGACTGACATGGGCTGACACACATGGTGCTGTCAGATACACAAGGACAACAGCCAAAGAGTTACAAAAACTAATCCATGATTATTAAACAATCACAACAACAAAAAAAGTTACACATATCAAACCTTTAGGTGTATTGCATTGAAAAGAAGGTCCGGGCACAGCATAATTTAAAGAGGCAAAACAGGGCGCCACTGAAAGCTCACCGTAACAGTTTATTATAAAGCTGATGGAAAGGAGCAAGTTGTCTCTCTGTATCAGCTTAACAGTTTTCTATTAGCTGAAGAGGTGGGAGGGGTGAATTCATTTTTGCAAGCACAAGATGTACCGCTTAACAAAACACTATCAGCTTGTTTTAAATGGATCTTTTAAATATCAACTGTAGTCTGTGTTGGCTAATTCTCCTTTCTAATTTCCCTAATCAACAGGCATAGTAAAATACCTCCTTCACTTCACTGCACAATTCAAAAAGGGAACTCCTGTGGGCTCAAAGCAACCATCAGACCAGCAATGCCCATGAAGATTTATCTGAAACTGCTTTCCAAGAGACAGGAGAGCAGATCTGAGTAGCTGTGCTGCCAATATAGATAGGTTTAGCTCTAGATATTTAGTGATTGTGGCAAAGAAGAATTGGTGATGATGGGGTGGTGGGTGATGGAAGGGTGAGGGACCCAAAGGCTTTTCAGTTATCTTCTCCTGCTTCTTCATCCTGCTGGTCACTTGTCCAGAGGGTGAGGTTGTCTCATAGTAATTGCATGATGAGTGTGGAGTCCTTATAGGAATCCTCCTTTAGTGTGTCCAGCTCAGCTATTGCATCATTGAAGGCTTGTTTGGCTAAGAGGCAGGCTTGCTCAGGTGCATTCTGGATCTCATAGTAGAACACAGAGAAGTTGAGGGCCAGGCCCAGTTGGATGGGATGTGTTGGCTGCATTTGCTCTTTGCTGATTTCAAAGGCTTCCTTGTAGGCAGCTTCAGAAGCTTTCACCACACTTTTTTTCTTCTCCCCAGAAGCTACCTCTGACAAGTAGTGGTAGTAATCACCTTTCATTTTCGGGTAAAACGCCTTGCTCTCGTATTTCACTGCAGTTCTTGATGAGGAACTGGACAAGCAGAGCCAGGACATCATTGCAGACTGTCTCCAGCTCCTTCTCAATCTTCTCCCGGTAAGCTTTAACTTTCTCCAATTTCTTTTCATTTCCATCAGCCATGGTTTTCTGTTCAATGCTGCTAATGACCCTCCAGGAAGATCGCCTGGCACCAACCACATTCTTGTAGGCCACAGACCTAAGGTGACCAGACATCCCGCTTTTGGCGGGACAGTCCCGATTTTTGGAAAGAATGCATGACAAGCTAGGGAACGGTGGGAGAACGGGAAGGGAATATATGGTTTTCAGCTGCCATGTGGCTATTTTGCCAGGATATGAGTTTTATATTATTTTTGTTAATTTTATAATGTTAAACTTTAATAACAAATAATTGTTGAGAACTGATTATCGAGAACTGCTTATCAAAGTTCACATTGTTGATCAGTTGTTAGAATTCAAACACCACTGTTTGGACTTAATGAACAATGGCATTTTTTGGCATTGGCAACAACGAAAACATTTTGTTACTGTCTCTCAGACGATACACATTGTACTGTGTGCTAGTGCTAGTTAAACAAGTGATGTCAACAAATCAGCTATTCAGATAACTTAGGTAAGTAAGTTATTTATTTATTTCATGAATTTAGCAAACAGTGCTCGTATTATTTATTTTATAGTGGCAGCACAAAGTCTAGTGCCAGCCTAGAAAGTAACACTTAACGACTTACGAGGTATCATTATTAAAAAAAATATGGATGGGCAGCACCTATGGCTCAGTGAGTAGGGTGCCGGCCCCATATACCAAGGGTGGGGGGCTCAAACCCGGCCCCAGCCCAACTGCAACCAAAAAATAGCTGGGCATTTTGGCGGGTGCCTGTAGTCCCAGCTACTTGGGAGGCTGAGGCAAGAGAAT